GTTCAGTTCTTACCAGGTCTCTTTAAAGCATTAGTTAGTTTTAAGTCTCTTTAAAGTCATTATTGTTTTAGTTCTACCATGTCTCTTTAAAGTCATTATGTTCTTACCAGGTCTCTTTAAAAGTCTTATGTTTAGTTCTTACCAGGTCTCTTTAAAGTTCATTATGTTAGTTCTTACCAGGTCTCTTTAAAGTCATTATGTTTAGTTCTTACCAGGTCTCTTTAAAGTCATTATGTTTAGTTCTTACCAGGTCTCTTTAAAGTCATTATGTTTAGTTCTAAAACTGAGCAATTGTGAAACTATGGTAACCAATAATGTGTTTGAGTTCAATAGAAAGTATGTGTGATGGTGGGAGACAAAGCTGAGGATCAACATCAGACAGGCTGAACAATGGACCTCAGCAGGCGCAGGGCCAATCCTTCACTCTCCTCCGCGCTCTGCTCTGCACCTCACTGAGCTGGGCTGAGCCTCACTGCCCTCCCTCCCTCCCTCCCTCCCTCCCTCCCTCCCTCCCTCCCTCCCTGCTGCTGTATGGGACTGGAAACGCACGCTGTTCCCAAAATTAACCAAACACCTCGCTGCCGTTTTAATGCATAATACAATTACTGCCCTTCATACAATCATCCACAACAAATGTATACCATTGTTCCCACATTCCAATCTCATTCTGAGCCACAAAACGTGTAACCTACATATATTCCATTTTCACTGAGCTAATTAACCAGGAAGGATAAACCTGCATGCGCTTTTCAGGCATTTCTCTGCCTGTTCTCCTTCCTGCCTGATGAAAGCAGAGGAGGAAAGGTAGAATCACGGACGATGGGAGAAATGAGGAATGGTTTAGCAGGATTCCCAGTAGGCTCAGGACATGAAGAGCGTGGTACAGTGACACAGAGGCAGATCCTTTACAGTGGACAGTCCTATTGTAGGTCGAGTCTAATGCTTTCATTGTTTGTGTTCCTGCATTATATAGACAGTTTGAACTAGGGATTCAATTACTGCACATTAAATAAGACAAATGTATGTAGTTACTAAATGTGACAAAAAGCAAACACTTACTACGTTAAACACAAATTATCCACATTGTTTAAAAAGCTGTGACAGATCATTATAGAGGGCGGGGAACAAAAAATAAAAAATAATCCCCCAAAATCCCAAAAATAAATCCCTAAATGATATTAGCCGTGAGCTGCTGTATTGCACCAGTATCCAGTCTTACAGTACACATGCTTAGGTTAGTGTGACTAAAGCCTGCGGCTTGCAGAATAAGCAGGGGTGAGTCCGTGGTGTTCTGCTGAATAGCCCTAACTGGATCGGATCTGAGTAACAGGACAGGCACTCCACCAGAGAGAAGACTGCAGAATAAGCAGGGGTGAGTCCGTGGTGTTCTGCTGAATAGCCCTAACTGGATCTGAGTAACAGGACAGGCACTCCACCAGAGAGAAGACTGCAGAATAAGCAGGGGTGAGTCCGTGGTGTTCTGCTGAATAGCCCTAACTGGATCGGATCTGAGTAACAGGACAGGCACTACACCAGAGAGAAGACTGCAGAATAAGCAGGGGTGAGTCCGTGGTGTTCTGCTGAATAGCCCTAACTGGATCGGATCTGAGTAACAGGACAGGCACTCCACCAGAGAGAAGACTGCAGAATAAGCAGGGGTGAGTCCGTGGTGTTCTGCTGAATAGCCCTAACTGGATCGGATCTGAGTAACAGGACAGGCACTCCACCAGAGAGAAGACTGCAGAATAAGCAGGGGTGAGTCAGTGGTGTTCTGCTGAATAGCCCTAACTGGATCGGATCTGAGTAACAGGACAGGCACTACACCAGAGAGAAGACTGCAGAATATCGAGCAATTTACAAATGGACTTCAAAGTGTCGACAGAAGCACATCATCTATAAGAAAGGCTTATTTTACAGCAATGCAGCCTTCCTGTAGTGTAATTTAATTCTCTACAAGAGTCTCTTTCCGCTCCTCTTCTTCTATTTTCTATCTCATGGAGGGAACAGAAGGACCAAGCCAATTCCTACACCGCCAGCAAACTGCCCACTCTTCTTCCCCATCAAATTAGAAAAGCTGTTCATGTTTTTATCTTTCAGATTTCCTGGGTTGTATGGCTAAATACTGAAGCACTGGAGGCCGGTCATGCTTTAAGCTACTAGAAAAAGTTAAGCTTCAGCATTGGCTAGCCGAGATATCGGCAGTAAGCCGACAAGTAATTAAAGCAGCATATCTGTAACAACTGTCATCTCTTATTTCTGCTCAGCTTGGACGTAAACCAAAGGCGAGAAAAGCCAGGGAGGAAGAGGGAGAAAAAGAGAGTTGACATTACTGGGCAGAAAATATACTCTCTCTCTCTCTCTCTCTCTCTCTCTCTCTCTCTCTCTCTCTCTCTCTCTCTCTCTCTCTCTCTCTCTCTTTCTCTCTCTCTCTCTCTCTCTCTCTCTGAACAGTTTTGCAAACTGAGGCGTTTAGGGGATTGGGGAGCAGATCAAAAGGCCCCTCACCAATTAACAGCAGGGAGAAGAGCATCAAATAAGGTATACATTTCAGTTCAACACGTTTCAGTGTGCCAAGCAGGAAATGCATTCTAATAGTCCTGAGTGGCGGAAGCTTCGAACCCTCAGCGACGTCACAACTGGTTCTCTAAATGGGCTTAATGGCTCTCAGAATGGTGTGGTGCTGTAGAAGTCTTGTTGAGTATAATGTTGAGTCAGTCAGATAACAGTGGGACATTGATACTGTAGGTTCTGCCGTGTAGGAAGAACAGGACACAGGGGGCTAGCTCGGACACAGGTCTGACGGAGGTCAGAGGTGAGTGAATTCATTATTTTTCTGTGGTTGCAGCAAGCTTCCACACAATTTTCAACAGTCTTTGACAGCTTTGACAAGAAGATGTTCTCAAATGCAATCGTGCAATACACACTCTATGTACACAGTTTATTAGGTACACCACCCCGTTCACCAAAATGGAACGCTCCTCCAGACAGTGAGTCACTTGGCCGTGGCTTGCTATATAAAGCAGGCAGACAGGCATCGGTCCTTGTCACGGATGGGATATTGCAGCAGACGACCACACCGGGTTCCACTCCTATCAGCTAAAAACAAGAAGAAGCGGCTCCAGTGGGAAGGCCATCACCAACACTGGACAATGAGGAGTGGAAAAACATTGCTTAGAACATGACAGCGAGTTCAGTTTACTTGAGTGGCCTGATCACTAAGGAGCATCACTGTGGAGCATCACTGAGGAGCCTGCTCACCGAGGAGCCTGATCACTGAGGAGCTTCACAGAGGAGCTTCACTGAGGAGCCTGATCACTGGGGAGCCTGATCACTGAGGAGGGTGATCACTGAGGAGCCTGATCACTGAGGAGCTTCACAGAGGAGCTTCACTGAGGAGCCTGATCACTGGGGAGCCTGATCACTGAGGAGGGTGATCACTGAGGAGCCTGATCAATGGGGAGCCTGATCACTGAGGAGGGTGATCACTGAGGAGCCTGATCACTGGGGAGCCTGATCACTGAGGAGGGTGATCACTGAGGAGCCTGATCACTGAGGAGCCTGATCACTGAGGAGTCTGATCACTGAGGAACCTGATCACTGAGGAGTCTGATCACTGAGGAGCCTGATCACTGAGGAGCCTGATCAGTGTGTTCACATTAATAGCTGCCTGTTAGTGATCAATTCATTAAATACAATGTGTTTACCATATGCAAAGTCTTGAGCATTGATTATTTAACCCTAAATTAATATTAATTAATTAATTAATATTAATAATTAATATTAATTAATATGCCATTTAGCAGACGCTTTTATCCAAAGCGACTTACAGTCATGCGTGCATACATTTTCGTGTATGGGTGGTCCCGGGGATCGAACCCACTACCTTGGCGTTACAAGCGCCGTGCTCTACCAGCTGAGCTACAGAGGACCACGAGCTCCAACAGGGGTACATTTTGTCCCTTAAAGCTCCAACAGGGGTACATTTTGACCCTTAAAGCTCCAACAGAGGTACATTTTGTCCCCTAAAGCTCCAACAGGGGTACATTTTGACACCTAAAGCTCCAACAGAGGTACATTTTGTCCCTTAAAGCTCCAACAGGGGTACATTTTGACCCTTAAAGCTCCAACAGAGGTACATTTTGACCCCTAAAGCTCCAACAGGGGTAATTTTTTAAGCCAAATTGAAAATAATGGCAACATGACACTTTCTGTCAAACAGCAGCACTTTTTCTTTTATAACCTTTGTACATTTTAGTCATTTAGCAGACGCTCTTATCCAGAGCGACTTACAGTTAGTGAATACATATTATTTTATACTGGCCCCCCGTGGGAATCGAACCCACAACCCTGGCGTTGCAAACGCCATGCTCTATCAACTGAGCTACATCCCTGCCGGCCATTCCCTCCCCTACCCTGGACGACGCTGGGCCAATTGTGCGCCGCCCATGGGTCTCCCGGTCGCGGCCGGCTGCGACAGAGCCTGGCTTCGAACCAGGATCTCTAGTGGCACAGTTAGCACTGCGATGCAGTGTCTTAGATCACTGCGCCACTCAGGAGTACAGTAAATGGTTAAAATTCCCCAATATTTTAAAAAATGCACACATTTATAGTACATTTTGATGTTTCAAAATATACGTTTTTTTGTAAACTGAACAGAAATATAAATGTTAAGGGTTTACTATTCAGTTTAGCCGCTAGTATACAAATTATAGATCATTATTTCATTCCTCGACATTAACACACAAATTATCCTAAATGGTGTTATGACAGTAACTAGTTGCTTGGCAAAGTCATAACATTTCAGAAGGATAAAAAAAAGTGTTTTGAAATTATTCCATTATTGACCCCTTGGAGTCAGAATTGACCCCTGTTGGTGCTTTTAGGGATAAGCACTACGAAATGGGAGTCTAATCGCAATGTTGCACAGTAAGATTTATTCTGTGTAATGTGTATAATTTCTTCTGTGTGAGATTTCTACATTGGAGGAGTGTTGCTAGTTGCTACCGCTCCTTCGCTCTCCGTCTCCCCCCGCTCCCTCGCTCTCCGTCTCCCCCCGCTCCTTCGCTCTCCGGCTCCCCCCCGCTCCTTCGCTCTCCGTCTCCCCCCGCTCCTTCGCTCTCCGTCTCCCCCCGCTCCTTCGCTCTCCGTCTCCCCCCGCTCCTTCGCTCTCCGTCTCCCCCCCGCTCCTTCGCTCTCCGTCTTCCCCCGCTCCTTTGCTCTCCGTCTCCCCCCCGCTCCTTCGCTCTCGGTCTCCCCCCCGCTCCTTCGCTCTCCGTCTCCCCCCGCTCCCTCGCTCTCCGTCTCCCCCCCGCTCCCTCGCTCTCGGTCTCCCCCCCGCTCCTTCGCTCTCCGTCTCCCCCCGCTCCCTCGCTCTCCGTCTCCCCCCGCTCCTTCGCTCTCCGTCTCCACCCGCTCCTTCGCTCTCCGTCTCCCCCCGCTCCTTCGCTCTCCGTCTCCACCCGCTCCTTCGCTCTCCGTCTCCCCCCCGCTCCTTCACTCTCCGTCTCCCCCCCGCTCCTTCGCTCTCCGTCTCCCCCCGCTCCTTCGCTCTCCGTCTCCCCTCGCCTCGTTATGCATTCAGCAGTAAGAGTAAGTCAAATAATGGTTTGTAATTCAATAGAGCAATCTGAACATATTTAGTTGTGCTAAGGGCTGACTGAGGGAGACTAAGAGCTCAAAATGTTGCCGCTGTGCTCATTATGTATGTTTAAAACAATTAGCAATTCAAGGCCACACAGTGTGGTGGTGGGGGGGAGGGGAAGGGAGGAGAGGAGAGGAGAGGAGAGGAGAGGAGAGGAGAGGAGAGGAGAGGAGAGGAGAGGAGAGGAGAGGAGAGGAGAGGAGAGGAGAGATAGCGTCTCAGTTCTCTCCCTGGGTTAGGACAGCAATGCAGAGTTGGTAGAATCTATTCAAATTGAGGTGTTTCCACAAAGTATTAACTATGGTGTTGTAGACATACACAATCAAAACATCTTTGTTTAATAAAAAATAAAAAAATTATTTTCTTTCAGTTTGAAAATCTAGATCAGGTTGTGTATATCTGTAGGAAAATACATCTAATGTAATCCCTTCTTAGATGTAATTTTAAGGCAGAAACATGTACAACTGTGCAAGGGGTGTGTAGACTTTCACTAGGCACAACTGAAGTCACTTCTACTGTTCATTAAAATACCACTACACCAGGACTGTCCAACCCTGTTCCTGGAGAGCTACCGTCCTGTAGGTTTATGCTCCAACCCTGTTCCTGGAGTGCTACCGTCCTGTTGGTTTATGCTCCAACCCTGTTCCTGGAGAGCTACCGTCATGTAGGTTTATGCTCCAACCCTAATCTAGCACACCTGATTCTAATAATTAGCAGGTTGATAAGATGGATCAGGTTAGTAACACCTGGGGTTAGAGTGAAAACCTACAGGAGGGTAGCTCTCCAGGAACAGTGTTGGGCAACCCTGCACTACACTGTCTCTCAGTCCTGCTGAAACAAACACAAATTAAATTGTCATGTGGAAATAAAAGCAGCTGTTTCAAGATGCATCAGTGTGAGGTCATTACTTCAGCTCATGCTACAATAGCTCAGCCATGCTGGAAGTATATTAATAATTAATAATCTCTATGTCCTTATCTGCTCAGAGTCAATTCCATCTTCGCTGCTCTTCACCAGGACATCAGGGGAGAGGTTAATGTTGCTTCCAGTTTAGCTGCTCTTCACCAGGACATCAGGAGAGAGGTTAATGTGAGAACACAATGAGAACATGATGCCAATACCATGAGAACACGATGAGAACACAATGTGAATACAATGAGAATATAATGAGAACACGATGAGAACACAATGAGAACACAATGAGAACACAATGAGAATACAATGAGAACACAATGAGAACACAATGAAAACACGATGAGAACATGATGAGAACACGATGAGGACACAATGAGAAAATGATGAAAACACAATGAGAACACGATGAGAACACAATGAGAACACAATGTGAATACAAGTAGAACACAACGACAATACCATGAGAAAACGATGAGAACACAATGAAAACACAATGAGAACACGATGAGAACACAATGAGAATGCAATGACAACACATTGAGAACACGATGAGAACATAATGAGAACACGATGAGAACACAATGAGAATACAATGAGAACACAATGAGAATACAATGAGAACACAATGAGAACACAATGAAAACACGATGAGAACATGATGAGAACACGATGAGAACACGATGAGTACACAATGAGAAAATGATGAGAACACAATGAGAATACAATGAGAACACAATGAGAACCCAATGAGAATGCAATGAGAACACGATGAGAAAACAATGAGAACAAGATGAGAACACAATGAGAACACGATGAGAACACAATGAGAACACAATGAGAACACGATGAGAACCCAATCTACCACAATGAGAACACAATGAGAACACAATGAGAACACGATTAGAAAAGGATGAGAATACAATTGGAACACAATGAGAACAGAATGAGAACACGATGAGAACACAATGAGAACAGGATGAGAACACAATGAGAACACAATGAGAACACAATTAGAACACAATGAGAACAGGATGAGAACACAATGAGAATACATTGAGAACAGGATGAGAACACGATGAGACATGATGACAACACAATGAGAACACGATGAGAACACGATGAGAACACGATGAGAACACGATGAGAACACAATGAGATCACGATGAGAACACAATGAGAACAGGATGAGAACACAATGAGAACACAATGAGATCACCATGAGAACACGATGAGATCACCATGAGAACAGGATGAGAACACAATGAGAACACAATGAGATCACCATGAGAACACGATGAGAACACATTGAGAACACAATGAGAATACAATGCTAAACAAGCCTGTCTACTTAGCAGGGAGTAAGCTAAATGATTTCAATGCTAAACATGCACACTAGCATGGAGTAAACTATATGATATCAATGCTAAACAAGCCCACTAGCAGGGAGTAAGATATATGATATCAATACTAAACAATAGCTCAGCCATGCTGGAAGTATATTAATACTTAATCATCTCTATGTCCTTATCTGCTCAGAGTCAATTCCATCTTCGCTGCTCTTTACCAGGACATTAGGGGAGAGGTTAATGTTGCTTCCGGTTTAGCTGCTCTTCACCAGGACATCAGGAGAGAGGTTAATGTGAGAACACAATGAGAACATGATGCCAATACCATGAGAACACGATGAGAACACAATGAGAACACAATGAGAACACAATGTGAATACAATGAGAATATAATGAGAACACGATGAGAACACAATGAGAACACAATGAGAACACAATGAGAATACAATGACAACACAATGAGAACACAATGAAAACACGATGAGAACATGATGAGAACACGATGAGGACACAATGAGAAAATGATGAAAACACAATGAGAACACGATGAGAACACAATGAGAACACAATGTGAATACAATGAGAACACAACGACAATTCCATGAGAAAACGATGAGAACACAATGAAAACACAATGAGAACACAATGAGAACACAATGAGAACACGATGAGAACACAATGAGAATGCAATGACAACACATTGAGAACACGATGAGAACATAATGAGAACACGATGAGAACACAAAGAGAATACAATGAGAACACAATGAGAATACAATGAGAACACAATGAGAACACAATGAAAACACGATGAGAACATGATGAGAACACGATGAGAACACGATGAGTACACAATGAGAAAATGATGAGAACACAATGAGAATACAATGAGAACACAATGAGAACCCAATGAGAATGCAATGAGAACACGATGAGAAAACAATGAGAACAAGATGAGAACACAATGAGAACACGATGAGAACACAATGAGAACACAATGAGAACACGATGAGAACACGATGAGAACCCAATCTACCACAATGAGAACACAATGAGAACACAATGAGAACACGATTAGAAAAGGATGAGAATACAATTGGAACACAATGAGAACAGAATGAGAACACGATGAGAACACAATGAGAACAGGATGAGAACACAATGAGAACACAATGAGAACACAATGAGAACACAATTAGAACACAATGAGAACAGGATGAGAACACAATGAGAATACATTGAGAACAGGATGAGAACACGATGAGACATGATGACAACACAATGAGAACACGATGAGAACACGATGAGAACACGATGAGAACACGATGAGAACACAATGAGATCACGATGAGAACACAATGAGAACAGGATGAGAACACAATGAGAACACAATGAGATCACCATGAGAACACGATGAGATCACCATGAGAACAGGATGAGAACACAATGAGAACACAATGAGATCCCCATGAGAACACGATGAGAACACATTGAGAACACAATGAGAATACAATGCTAAACAAGCCTGTCTACTTAGCAGGGAGTAAGCTAAATGATTTCAATGCTAAACATGCACACTAGCATGGAGTAAACTATATGATATCAATGCTAAACAAGCCCACTAGCAGGGAGTAAGCTATTTACATTTTACATTTCAGTCATTTAGCAGATGCAGGTATTCCTTAAAGAGGTAGGGTTTAAAATGTCTCTGGAAGGTAGTCAGTGACGCCGCTGTCCTGGCATCGTGGGGGAGCTTGTTCCACCAGTGGGGTGCCAGAGCAGCAAATAGCTTTGACTGGGCTGAGCGGGAACTGTGCTTCCGTAGAGGTAGGGGAGCTATCAGGCCAGAGGTGGATGAACGTAGTGCCCTCGTTTGGGTGTATGGTCTGATCAGAGCCTGAAGGTAAGGAGGTGCCGTTTCCCTCACAGCTCCATAGGCAAGCACCATGGTTTTGTAGTAGATGCGAGCTTCAACTGGAAGCCAGTGGAGTGTTTGAAGGAGCGGGGTGACATGAGAGAACTTGGGAAGGTTGAACATCAGACGGGCTGCAGCGTTCTGGTGAAGTTGTAGGGGTTTAATGGCACAGACAGGGAGCCCAGCCAACAGCGAGTTGCAGTAATCCAGACGGGAGATGACAAGTGCCTGGATTAGGACCTGTGCCGCTTTCTGTGTAAGGTAGGGTCGTACTCAATGAATGTTGTAAAGCATGAACCTACAGGATCGGGTCACCGCTTTGATGTTAGCGGAGAATGACAGGGTGTTGTCCAGGGTCACGCCAAGGTTCTTTGCACTCTGGGAGGAGGACACAACGGAGTTGTCAACCGTGATGGCGAGATCAACAAGCGGTCAGTCCTTCCCCGGGAGGAAGAGCAGCTCCGTCTTGCCGAGGTTCAGCTTGAGGTGGTGATCCGTCATCCACACTGATATGTCTGCCAGACATGCAGAGATGCGATTCGCCACCTGGTTATCAGAAGGGGGAAAGGAGAAGATTAATTGTGTGTCGTCTGCGTAGCAATGATAGGAGAGACCATGTGAGGATATGACAGAGCCAAGTGACTTGGTGTATAGAGAGAATAGGAGAGGGCCTAGAACTGAGCCCTGGGGGACACCAGTGGTGAGAGCACGTGGTGCGGAGACAGATTCTCGCCACGCCACCTGGTAGGAGCAACCTGTGAGGTAGGATGGAATCCAAGAGTGAGCCGTGCCGGAGATGCCCAACTCGGAGAGGGTGGAGAGGAGGATCTGATGGTTCACAGTATCAAATGCAGCAGACAGGTCTAGAAGGACAAGAGCAGAGGAGAGAGAGTTAGCTTTAGCAGTGCGGAGAGCCTCCGTGACACAGAGAAGAGCAGTCTCAGTTGAATGACCAGTCTTGAAACCTGACTGGTTTGGATCAAGAAGGTCATTCTGAGAGAGATAGCAAGAGAGTTGGCTAAAGATGGCACGTTCAAGAGTTTTGGAGAGAAAAGAAAGAAGGGATACTGGTCTGTAGTTGTTGACATCGGAGGGATCGAGTGTAGGTTTTTTGAGAAGGGGTGCAACTCTCGCTCTCTTGAAGATGGAAGGGACATAGCCAGTGGTCAAGGATGAGTTGATGAGCGAGGTGAAGTAAGGGAGAAGGTCTCCGGAAATGGTCTGGAGAAGAGAGGAGGGGATATGGTCAAACGGGCAGGTTGTTGGGCGGCCGGCCATCACAAGTCGCACAATTTCATCTGGAGAGAGAGGGGAGAAAGAAGTCAAAGCATAGGGTAGGGCAGTGTGAGCAGGACCAGCGGTGTCATTTGACTTAACAAACGAGGATCGGATGTCGTCAACCTTCTTCTCAAAATGGTTGACAAAGTTATCCACAGAGAGGGAGGAGGGAGGGGGAGGAGGAGGAGGAGGAGGAGGATTCAAGCAGAGGCTTGAAATTTAGAGTGGTAGAAAGTTGCTTTAGCAGCAGAAACAGAGGAAGAAAATGTAGAGAGGAGGGAGTGAAAAGATGACAGGTCCGCAGGGAGTCTAGTTTTCCTCCATTTCCGCTCGGCTGCCCAGAGCCCTGTTCTGTGAGTTCGCAATGAGTCGTCAAGCCACGGAGCTGGAGGGGAGGACCGAGCCGGCCGGGAGGATAGGGGACACAGAGAGTCAAATGATGCAGAAAGGGAGGAGATATGATGTCAATGTTAAACAAAGCCACTAGCATGGAGTAAGCTATATGATGTCAATACTAAACAAGCCCACTAGCAGGGAGTAAGCTATATGATATCAATACTAAACAAGCCCACTACAGCGTTGACATCTAGCACACCTTGATATGCTCTTCCACCAGACGATAGTGTTTGGTGTGATCTGATATAACTATAAGTGTCATAGTTGATATAGAGGCTGGTCAGAATACTCTGTGAGTTCTCCACCAAGTGTCATAGTTGATATAGAGGCTGGTCAGAATACTCTGTGAGTTCTCTACCAACCACCGCAGACACCTGGGATGGATAGCACTATCATACTACAGGCTAACCACAGACACCTGGGATGGATAGCACTAACATACTACAGGCTAACCACAGACACCTGGGATGGATAGCACTAACATACTACAGGCTAACCACAGACACCTGGGATGGATAGCACTAACATACTACAGGCTAACCACAGACACCTGGGATGGATAGCACTAACATACTACAGGCTAACCACAGACACCTGGGATGGATAGCACTAACATACTACAGGCTAACCACAGACACCTGGGATGGATAGCACTAACATACTACAGGCTAACCACAGACACCTGGGATGGATAGCGCTAACATACTACAGGCTAACCACAGACACCTGGGATGGATAACGCTAACACACTACAGGCTAACCACAGACACCTGGGATGGATAGCACTATCATACTACAGGCTAACCACAGACACCTGGGATGGATAGCACTAACATACTACAGGCTAACCACAGACACCTGGGATGGATAGCACTATCATACTACAGGCTAACCACAGACACCTAGGATGTATAGCACTAACATACTACAGGCTAACCACAGACACCTGGGATGGATAGCACTATCATACTACAGGCTAACCACAGACACCTGGGATGGATAGCACTAACATACTACAGGCTAACCACAGACACCTGGGATGGATAGCACTAACATACTACAGGCTAACCACAGACACCTGGGATGGATAGCACTAACATACTACAGGCTAACCACAGACACCTGGGATGGATAGCACTAACATACTACAGGCTAACCACAGACACCTGGGATGGATAGCACTAACATACTACAGGCTAACCACAGACACCTGGGATGGATAGCGCTAACATACTACAGGCTAACCACAGACACCTGGGATGGATAACGCTAACACACTACAGGCTAACCACAGACACCTGGGATGGATAGCACTAACATACTACAGGCTAACCACAGACACCTGGGATGGATAGCACTAACATACTACAGGCTAACCACAGACACCTGGGATGGATAGCACTAACATACTACAGGCTAACCACAGACACCTGGGATGGATAGCACTAACATACTACAGGCTAACCACAGACACCTGGGATGGATAGCACTAACATACTACAGGCTAACCACAGACACCTGGGATGGATAGCACTAACATACTACAGGCTAACCACAGACACCTGGGATGGATAACACTAACATACTACAGGATAACCACAGACACCTGGGATGGATAGCGCTAACACACTACAGGCTAACCACAGACACCTGGGATGGATAGCACTAACACACTACAGGATAACCACAGACACCTGGGATGGATAACACTAACACACTACAGGCTAACCACAGACACCTGGGATGGATAGCACTATCATACTACAGGCTAACCACAGACACCTGGGATGGATAGCACTAACATACTACAGGCTAACCACAGACACCTGGGATGGATAACACTAACATACTACAGGCTAACCACAGACACCTGGGATGGATAGCACTAACATACTACAGGCTAACCACAGACACCTGGGATGGATAACACTAACATACTACAGGCTAACCACAGACACCTGGGATGGATAGCACTAACACACTACAGGCTAACCACAGACACCTGGGATGGATAGCACTAACATACTACAGGCTAACCACAGACACCTGGGATGGATAGCACTAACATACTACAGGCTAACCACAGACACCTGGGATGGATAGCACTAACATACTACAGGCTAACCACAGACACCTGGGATGGATAGCACTAACATACTACAGGCTAACCACATACACCTGGGATGGATAGCGCTAACACACTACAGGCTAACCACAGACACCTGGGATGGATAGCACTAACATACTACAGGCTAACCACAGACACCTGGGATGGATAACACTAACATACTACAGGCTAACCACAGACACCTGGGATGGATAGCACTAACATACTACAGGCTAACCACAGACACCTGGGATGGATAGCACTAACATACTACAGGCTAACCACAGACACCTGGGATGGATAGCACTAACACACTACAGGATAACCACAGACACCTGGGATGGATAGCACTAACATACTACAGGCTAACCACAGACACCTGGGATGGATAACACTAACATACTACAGGCTAACCACAGACACCTGGGATGGATAGCACTAACATACTACAGGCTAACCACAGACACCTGGGATGGATAACACTAACATACTACAGGCTAACCACAGACACCTGGGATGGATAGCACTAACATACTACAGGCTAACCACAGACAACTGGGATGGATAGCACTAACATACTACAGGCTAACTACAGACACCTGGGATGGATAGCACTAACATACTACAGGCTAACCACAGACACCTGGGATGGATAACACTAACATACTACAGGCTAACCACAGACACCTGGGATGGATAGCACTAACA